GGGTTTTGACTTTAATAAAGCAGTTTTTTTTATTTTATTTGAACTTTTAGAGGTGTTTCTGAGTATTCTACTACATTATTATTCAGTGTAGATGTGATTAATGTGATATCAGACTGTAATTTTTATTTAAAAAGAATGCATCTTTGTAAATAAATTTTGGGGCCAAACATACTTGATTATCAGAGATTTTCTATTATTTCCACTTAAATTCTTTAATAGATTTAATTGATATAAATATGCATAATAACATTTGTGAATTGTTTAAAAATTCTAAAAGCTGGAAAAAGTTTTAATTTTTTTTCAATGGTTAAATTTATTGTCTTTTTTTAAATAATGAATAATTTCCAATATTTTAATGTAATTCATTGAATTTTATATGAAAATATTAGCACTTTGAAATGTAAGTAGTGGTATAATTGAAGAGCTCAGTGGAAAAGTGGCATCGCAACTCAGTAGAGTTGTCAGAAAAACTTAGTTACTTTGAAATATGCATTCCAAGTATAGTTATATTTATCTAGTTATTTCAAAATAACTTTGAGTTTTTTGATAATTCTGCCATGTTGGGATATACCACTTTTCAACTGAGTCCCTCAGTTATGTTTTGAAATTATCTGCAATTGTATTAAAGTGAATAAATAGAAACATAAATAAAACTTCACTGTTGTTATCTTTATATAGTTTAAAATATAAAACATTCATAATTCAGAAATTTGATCTAATTAAGAGCATGATATTTAGCTTAGAACATTAAAGTATTAAAAATGATAATTATATATAAGTTTGATGTTCTTATAGCTTTCTAAAACACACTGTAAACAACCTTTAAAGTCCAATAAAGCTATATAACAATAAAAATTAAATGGTGGTAAATATAAAATTTAACACATATATAAAAATTTTAGATACAAAAAAAGGATCAACTGAGTTTGCCAGAATAAATAATGGTAAGTAGCAGCCTTCTGTGCACTAACAAGACGGGCCTATACACATCATACTAATTGAGAAGACACTTTAAATTAATAGAGCTAAAACATCTCAAAAACATAGCTATAAAATATGGGTATAAAAGGGACCTAATATGTAATTTATCTCACACCTATTCCAACCAACAAGCTATGCTCATCTCCAACACTCAAGGAATTTCCAACAGAAGTCAAGCATGCAACCTTAACTGCAGGTGCACAGTGATAGAGTATAACCAGCATTGACATACCATATATAAAGAAATAGCTTGGCAGGTACCAAGCATGCATACAAGAGGGCTTGCACAATATATAAGTTATTGTACAACAGGAAGGACAAGACCGATGAATGTAGAGTCCCAGGGGTGTACATTGTTCCTGTGAGAGACAACTGATTCCAAAGGAATTTAGTGTATATTAGTTCCACAAAACACTCAATACATAAAACGGTGCAAGAACTTCATTTCAACATTTTGAACAAAAGGCATATCACAGCCCTGTCCACTTATGCCATTGAGCCTGACATGTGAGCCAATCTCCAAAATGCCATGTTAATAAGGCAATCATTTTAAATAGATCATATTAGGACCTTAGAAGCCTTTATAGGTCTGACTAGCAAATGTATTAACTTAAAGGATAGAAAAACAGTCTTGTATGCATAGCAGTACTTTTATGAAAAACCAGGGAAGGGAAAGGCCGACATAAATTAATTTTTTATTAATTGGTATTAAATTATATCTAAAATTTTATATTTACCACTGTTTAATGTTTGTTGTTATATAGTAATATATTTTTGTTCCAATTTTTAAAAATATATGTAATAAAAAATTTGTCCTTCCGCTGGGATATCTACATATTTTAGAACTGCTATAAAAAAAAAAAACTTTTAAATAAGAATTTTAAGGAAAATGTACTGTTTTTTTTTTATAAAACAATTAGACCATTTTATGGGAGAATATTTATATTTATATTATTCTACTTAGGTAAGTAAACAGGGAAAACAAACAAAAAAAAATATGCCATTTTTGCTAAAACAAAAATGAGTTTTTAATGCAAAAAAACTTTTGTTGTCGTTACTTAAAATTAGTAGCAAGCAAGGACACTATCCAGTAGCCGCTTATATGTATATATATATATCAAGTTGTTATTGAACTTTTACTATTAATCATATTTTATAATGGACAGCTTAATTGAGATGGCTAGATTAGATTGTTACCAGAGTTTTTTTTTGAGATAATGTAGACTAAATGTTTTCAGTTAATATTAGTACTCTATGTAACTTTTTATAGACAATTTTTTTTACCTTAAGAAAATCGACTATTAAATTTGAAACAAAATAATATGCATTACAATGCATATTAAATAAATAGCTATGCCAATCAAAAACAACTTCTTTATATTTACTATTTATGACAATTCATATGGAAATATCAATAAATCAATGATGTACGAACAATACGCATGCACACAGAGAATCAAGTATAATAAATTGTATAAAGTTTCTATTTAACTATACAATTATATTAAAAGCTTTATCCCTTAAGAATATTAAACGGCCAAGGAAAAGAAATAAGAGCAACATATATTATATATATAATTATATTGTGGATTAGATGTGCACGCCGAAGAAACTACGCGAATTTAGTCTGAAAGTCATCAAAAGAGAATTTCTTTACATTAAATTGATTAAGAAACTTTTCGGGTGGGCGTACCAAAATATTTCTATACACACAATTTTGGCTTAGATCTGCGATTTATTTCGGTTTTTAAACATTGTTTTTAAATTGGTTTTATTAAATTTAAACGAAATTAAGCCTATACTGTTCTTATACCTCAGGTAAGTCTCATAGTTGTTCCTGTTGCAAGTTTTATCTTAGAGTAATGAAATATTACAACTGCTAATTTTTATGAATATTTTTACAATAAAAAAAATAAATTAAAACAATGTGGAAAATTATTTTCCGTTTTAAATTTGCAATCTTGTTAAATTTCGTAATAGTATACTGTATATTTTTTAAGTATTTGCATACAAAATTATAAACGCTATTATAAATGCTATACGCATTTAATCTTTTCTAATGACATTTTGTAATATTACAACATATAATTTAAATTTTATGAAGTTTACATAACCTTAAAATCATGATCTAAATAAAAAATGTGCTAACATTAAAATGCTAATTCTCTCTCTCTCTCTCTCTCTTTTTTACTATGTAACGCGTTTATATAAACAACTTCATAACGACGATGACAAACTGCAAATTTTTGCTTAAAACATAAGAATTAATAATTATTAAACAATATCAGAATGACTATATGCATAATAATCTGAACAAAAACATAAACAAATAGCCTCCAAAAAAATCACACGGGAGAATTACATTGCGATGATAATAATAGACTACGAGAGAGAATCATCCTTAACAAATTAACTTTCTGTTGTATTGTTTTCCGATAACAATAAAAAGGTCAGATAAGCATCCTCATGCGGATGACCTCGGCGACATTGTACTTGAGAAAATGCACTTTAATGGGTCTACGTCAACTCCGACATTTTAAGGTCAACGACTTCATAATCCTTGACAGAAAATAATGATGTGATATTTTCGCGACAGAAAACGTTTGCATGCAAAACTTGATGACGTATATATCTGTCAGAACATTGACATAATTCACGTAAAAAAAACCAACGATAACACGTCTTAGGTGACAGAGATGGAGTTACTAATAATTATAAATAGAAAGAAAATATAATTGGGCATACATTTGACTAAAAGGACGCAAGGTGTCTTTTCACTCTTTTTTTTTTAATTGGAACTTTAATCAATATTGAAAATAATTATATTTTAATATTTAAATATGTATGACGTTAAGATTGAATACCCGAACGAACAAGTCACGTCTATATACTGTTATTGTTTAGTAATTGATAACCTCGAAATGGGAAAGAAACTTTACGGAAATTTTTTTTACTTTATGAATATTCTTAACGCGTTGGGAAAGTTTAAAATAAATTACGAAAATATTTACTATTAAAAATCGTAAATATTTAATTACCAGAACTTTATCTAATCAATTAATCAAGTTTAATGATAGAAATAAAGTTCGGAAAAAGTAACGACTTATAATTAGATGCCAACGATAAAAATTCGATCACGTTCTCGTGTATATTCGCATTATTTCAAATAGAATTATGGTCACGATTATACGCATTAAATCACAAGAATGTTGAAAATGAAATTAGTAAAATTTGATTTCACGTTCTTTGAATGTTTAGGAAATTTATAAATGGCAGTTAAATAAATTAAAATTCTATTCCAAGCATGCTTTTTTTTGCATTGTAACGAATAATTTTTCTGCTTTTGATTATGAGAATAACGGAATATTTTCGAAATCAGTTGTAATAGAATTCATAAGTAAATATATCGAAATTATTCTTGCCAGTTATATAACAGAGTTAATACATAATTATCTCTTAATACATCAGAAATAATTATTGATCTTAATTTCAAATTAAGCCATGAGTAAAATAATTCATTTAAACTTATCTTTAATTTTTACTTACCATGAATAAATATAAAGAATAATTTTTAATTCAAGATTGGAAACTGACAAAATTAAATGAAAGAACATTCTGTAATTAATTAAATTGTTTCTGATAATTAAAACAATTTTTATTACTGAACTTTAAAGGTTGTTTACACTGTGTTTGTGATTCATTCCAGTATTAAGAAGGTAATTTTATAGTTTTCTGTATACAGAATACCCAAGAAATTTTTTATCTAGAGAAAATAGAATTATTGTTTTTATAAAACAGTCATACAAAAAATAATTAATTTAAGTTTAGAAAAGAATTATAGTTAAATCTGAAACATCACCCAAAACTAATCTGATTAAGTTTCTTGTGGCATGGATTAGAACAGAAGAATGCAGTTTTAAAAATTCAATTTATAAATGTATTATATAATAATTGTAAAAAGTGATTATTACTTTTTGATTTTATAAGAACAATCTTAATAATTGCTAAATCTATTGTAGCTATGAGACCTCCCGTTCCGAGTCCTCCTCGCATGTTTCCACCAGTTACTTTAGCACCAGCACCACAGCCCACTATACCTACACCATATATAGCACCCAGTAATGGTATTGTAAATTATGGTCCTCCTCCAGCTGGATATCCACAGTACACATTTCCTCAGTTTGCTACTGCACCTCCACCTCCATCTCCAGTTGTAAGTAAAAAAAATAAATGATTATTTTTTAATTAACTACTTAGCATTTTAAACTGCAATTTAATATTTTATTCAGACAACACCACCAGAAGTTTACAGAGGTGGGATAATGTATTATAGCATGCATACCCAACAGCATGCTACTCGTACACCACCTCAGAAAAGACCAACTGCAGCAATACCAATAGTTCCACCTCCAGAGAGAGAAGTAAGTACTTGTAATTTGATTTAGCTTAGTAGTATATATAGATATTAAAAAAATAACTATCAAATCTTTACAGCAAACATCATTAGAAAAAATTGAAGTTAACAGCCCTAATTCAGAAGAATTAAAAGAAATGGTTGAAAATTCTACAGAAATTGAAACACTGTCAGAAGAAACATCACAGTTATCTAAGCCCACAGTAGAGGTGGAAAGTTAAATATTCATGTGTATATGTATGTATGTATGTGTGTGTATGTGTGTATGCATATGGAACTATATCAAATTGCAAAAAGTTGATGTAGTGTAAATTTTGATTACTTCAATCTTTTCAAATAAATTATCCACTGCCTTCTGTTTTACATATTTCTTTTGTAGCAAGAAAGAAATAGTGGATTGTTCGATTTTAATATGGTAAATAATTACAAAGCAATTTAATTGAACTTATTGCATTTTGTATTCGTTTCCGAATTGCGTACAAAGCTGGAGTAAGCTGTTTCTGAATGCAGTCTTCCAGCTTATATTCAAGAATATTTTTTAATTTTTCTCTAATCTGTGAGCTATGATGACATGTAAAATAATTAAAACATGTTACTTCTGTAAAATATTCCTTAATATTAGTAAAAATGTGTGTAAGTAAACTCATGAATGAAATAATAAAAAACTATGTATTATATATATAAAAAAAAATACTTTTTAAACACAAGAAATAATGACATAAATTATGGGTTTCCTCCCATTTGTTTATTGTTTGAAATTAAATTTGTTGTTTATCTGGTAAGACATTTTATACTTCATCTTGAAAAATTGCAATTGTATGTTATGTCATAATAGTGTCTGTCAAGAAAATAGTGTTACTTTTAAAAAGGTTTTTATTTTATTTTTCTTTATATTGCAGCTATGTATTTCAAGCTGGGCTCTTATATTTGTATTATAATTTATTAAAATGGTTTATTTATTTTTTAATTATCAACAACGTTATGAAATTGGACAAAGTTTTAGTAGAATTTATCATGACTGAGAAGCAAAAAAAAAATATTGTAAATTTTGGTTGAGAGAACATGATTATATTATCCATGTTGTACAGTATAGCAGAAATGAGTGATGATGGTTTAATTTTATTATTATAAATTTTAAAAAAGTATAGCAGTAATTTTTCTTGACGTCACTACTTCCTTGAATTGCAAGTTTTCCTGAAAAAATCGTTGTAAAACTTAACGAGATTCATGGTAAAAGAATTGCAATTTTTGAAAACTTAGTTGAGAATCACAATGTATATTATATAAACAACCCTTCTAACATTGTAAATTTTAATTTTTATGTTAGAAGACATTACATTGTTATGTAAATATTATGTTCATTAAAAGATAACAACAAAGCTGGTCTCTATCTGGTCTAGCTAGTTAAATGAAAAGACAGTTTCTACTATATCAGCTCCACTTATTTATTAATTTTCTTGAACATATTTCAACATTATAGCCAAGTATTCATATATCATTCACCATTTAATGTATCTCTTTGAGATAACAATGTTTATTAAGATAAAGTTTTATGAGACAAGCCAATATTGACTAAAGAAATGAAAGAATTTTTGCTTATTAGAATGTTGAAATAGTTACAAATGTATATATATTCTTAGCTAATGACTTAATGTTATTAAAGTGCACAAAGCTTATAGCATCAAAACATGATTATGGCTATCAGGAGAATGTGATTTCTTTTCATCTGTTAAGAAATTAATTGTTAAATTTTAAAAATATTTTTTACATAATTAATTAATTAATTAATTTTAAGTTGTAACTTTTATGCTGTGATTAATTTTGTAGTTGTTTTTACTTTATTATAAATTTCAATGTCATTTATTTTATCTCAATTTTATTTTAATCCATGCTCTATTTTAAACTTGACATATGAATTTTAAATTATTTTAATACTTTATATAATTCTTCATATGCAAAAATTCACAATCTGTTAAAAATTAATATAAATGTATGTAATGAATAGTTAACTTTTTCTAAATCCTTTATAAAGTAGACTCAAAAATTAATGACTGGATAAATGTGATTGAAGCAGAAATAAAAGCATTTTTAGAACTATGTCTACATTCTTGCTTCACACAATTGACAATATTATCCAAACTTCCTAAAAAAAATCTACTTTTGAAAATGGATTCTTTTATCAAGAAATAGATTTTTATAATTCTAAGATGTTTACATTTCTCCAGGAATATACATTGGGAGACTAATTAAATAAAATTCATCCATTAGTAAACTTCTAAACTTTTTCAATAAGACAAATGGCTAATGTTTATATTGTCCTGGAATACTGGAATACAGTTGTCCTTAGACATATCAATGGTTGTATGCAGAGGAAAATTAGTGTTTAGGAATTATATTATTTGGGAAGAAAGCATAAATATGGTAGTGAAATTACAACGACTGGATAAAATACATAAAAAATTGTTGAGAAGATTTAAAACAAAATAAAAAATCATTATTTTTAAAAGTCTGAAAAATCCTTTAAGGAAATCCTTTATTAGATATTGGACAACATTTTGGGATTTTTTTCATCTTCAGATGTTTTTTTATGAATAAAATAAATTTAAAAGTTAAAACTTATTAAATCTATTTGATTAATAAGTTTTAAGAAATAAGAAAAGGATTTAATGATAAGAAAAACATTCATATGATGTTCAACATCAGATACAAGAAATTGTTTCAGACTTTTAAATTNGCACGTTACGCTTACCTCTTAGAATTTTACATAAAAAAAAAACTTTTTAATATTGTGTATAAGAGTTTTTGCATTAGAGTTGTGGCATTTAGTATGAACTTTTATACTCTTGTGCATCGTATATTATATTACAGGATAAAGGGAGAAATATTTGATATAAATACATTGCTTTTTTAGTTGCAATGTGAATCCGGTATGAATGTCAGTGTGTTTATAAATGTTAATTTATTCTCTTTTGCTAAAAAACTATGATTTAGTAATCCAAAGAATTTAGTGTAAAAGCTGTTAAAAAAGAAAAAAAAATGTATGTTTTAGTTTAACATATTTATTGACTGTTAAACTGCAGTTATTCCTGTTGTATGTAATATTAATAAGATGATTATGCGAATTGTATGTATTAACAAAAATCTGTTGCTATTTGTGCAGTCAATATACAGTTATAAAATGAATACCATATACTTAATTTTTTTTGATTATATTCTAATTTCACTGCAAAATTATCTTATATTTATAATTACAACTTTGTGACATAAATAACATTTTATTCTAAAGAATTCTTTATATATAAAAATACAAAAAATTTTTTCAAATGCAGTAAATTTCTTGAACTAGACTAGATACTAAAATATCTGCAGTCATTTAGCAGATTGGCATTGTTTACATTCAATAAAATACTTACAAAGTTAAGTTTACATGTTACTGTACAAATCCAATTTATAAATATCTACAAATTATAGCTTTCCAGCAGCTATAATGCTGTATAATGCCATCAATTTTTTTTATTTTGTTAATAGTACTTTATCTTATTTTTTAAGGAACAAGCAAGAGTGTATTTATGAACGTGTCATTCCATTAATCATAATGTTAGCTAATGCATTTCGGCGTCTTCTCCAAGTTCCCAGATCCTTTGCGTGATACCTCAGTTGTTTTAACCATTCTCTTGTATCTGAAGTTGTTTCTGCCTGTTTGGTAAAACAAGAAAAAAATTGTAGAGTTTATAACAAAAAAAAAAAATTGTGAGTTTTTCATTTAAATAAATTGAAAATGAAACAAACCTTAAAATTAAACGATTCTTTTGTACAATATTCTTGAACTTCAAAATGATCACCATTCTGAATACCATTAGTAATGACACAATTACTTAAATGAAGTGGCTCCTGTTGGGTAAGTAAGAGAAAGTTTTAATATTTATCGTAATTTGTAATTTACTAAAAATTGTTTATGAGAAACTAATACATACTCTAATAGGAACGAATCTTCCATTTTTTTCCTTCATCAGCAACAGCGTTGCATCTCTTATACCGGTATTCTTTGGGAAAAGAACTGTACCTTCTGAAGCCAGTTCGGGCCTGTAATTCGAATTTGGTTTTCCCAGAGTCGCTAACAATGCGTGGACCAAAGTATATTTCAGTTTCCTGTTCTTCTTCATCCAGGGGTAATCAGAAACTTGGGCATACATTAATTTTCCTGCCATAACAAACCTCACTTCTTCTCTATTCCATCTCAACACTTCGAGAGCCAACTACGTATTTAGAAAGAAAGCATTAACCTCAATTGTAAGATATAAAAACAATAATGTAATTCAGCAGTTATGAATCAAACAGTAAACCTATTCTTCTGTTTAGATGTTAACACCTGTAAAACTAACACTTCCTTATTTGATGGGGGAAAAAGAACTGTTAAAAAAAAATGCTACATAGAGGAATTGCTTTGATCTAAAATTTTTATTTATACTCATTTAAAGCCTGTTTGTTTTTTTTAAATAAAAATTAGTCATTAATTTCCTGCTTTTTTAAAATAAAAATAGAACTACAATTTTCTTCTAGATTATTGCAAAATGTTAAGAAACCTTGAGTTTGACAGGGAGTTTTTGAAAGCCTGTATGACATTGATGAAGAAATTTGCAAATTTTCGATAAAAATCCTGTTATAATTTTTTATTTTTTATTTTTTAATGAGTTTTTCCCAATCACTCACTACATAAATTAGCAATGTAAAAATATAGAGATTCAACAAGATATTGCTAAGAAGCAAGAAATTATATATTGAGAATCAGTTTAAAATCCTAAATTAATCTAAAATACTATAAATATGAATAAAATTAAACTAATCTTTTTATTAAAGATTTAAATTTTAAAAAATAATTTCAGCCAATCAGCACATTTTTCGCGTCACCATTGGATCAATAAAAATGAATTTAATTTAAAAAAAAAAAAAAGTTTAAATCATAGTTGAACGAGAGATACTTTAAGGAAAGAAAATTAATTTCAGATATTTTATAAATATTAATAAATTTAAATTACCTTTCTCAGTTTAAAATTTCCTATATCGATGCCATTTGTAATCCTCCTATGTGCAGCAACGGATATATTAGAAAATCGTCGCCAGATTTTCGTACATCCAGTTCCTTTCGTTTGCTGTAAATAATAATAATGAATTAATTCATAAGTTGTGGAAAACGAAAATAATTAATAATATAAAATATAATTTTCCCCATATTTTAAGCGAAAATTATAAAATTATATCTTCTCGTATTTTAAGGGAAAATATAAGTAGCAGACGATATTTTTCCCCCTCACTTTTAGGGGGAAAAAGTATCGTCTGTACTTATATTTATTCCCACATTTTAATGGGAAATTAAATTTTACGTTATTATTTTTTCGGTTTTCATGACTTATGAATTAATTCATTTTTTAAGTCATGAAAACCGAAGAAATAATGATGTAAAATTTAATTTTCTTTTAAAATGTGGGGAATACTTTTTCCCTCTAAAAGTGAGGGGAAAAAATATCGTCTGCTGCTACTGAAAATCGGAATTTGCTCAGCCGACGACGAAACGATTTTTCCTGCGAAATAAAGGTAAAAATCGCTTCTTAACAGTAATTTTGCTGTATAATATTATAATTTTATAAAAGAATTTTCAGTATAATAAGTATTACTGAAATTCTTCAGTGAATATGAAGTGTTATAATGACTTACCCGCGTTAACATTCTTCCTGCAGAGTCGTTATCTGTTTGTTGCGAATGAGAATTTGGAAATGAAATGTGCTTAACGCGATTATTCATCAACATTTATATATAAGAAAAGTATTGAGAAGGACATGTTTCACGTCTGATAATGGCGTCAGTTAACCGGATCAGTGAAGGTTGGGAGGTAAGAATGACGTTTCTTTAATAAATGTAGGTCAAGCCTTGATTATACTTTAAGAAATCTCTATAAACAACGGATTTCTTACATTGATTGTTAATTGAACGCTTTCTGCAACTCTGGTTTTGAATACGGTTAATGAAAAATATATGCAAATTACCTTTGCATTTACAAAAGCACAGTTATATATTCTCAAAGATGAATGAATGCATTTCCTTTTGAAATTATTCCGTTATCGTCATTTTAAAGGGAGTATTTATTCTAGAATATCTTACGAAAAACCAATGAAAAGAAAAATTCAATTCTACTCCGGTTGTTACAAGGTGCTGAAAAGTATTATTTTGATTAAAATGTCCTATTGAATGTGGAATTTCGATAAAAGAAACAAAATACTCTGCAGAAACTAACAATTATTAATCATCTATCAGACCATCTCATCAAGGGCTCTCAAAAGATGATAAGTTTTGTCATCCATTTAATTTTAAAAACAGAATTACACACACAATCAAATTATGAAAAATATTGTCTTTGAGCTTATAAGAAACTATTGTGATCGAATCAATAACATCCTTTCTCTATCAAGCTTAAACGACTACGTCTTATTTCCATATTCTCAACCATATGATACTTATTTAAATCCTGCATTAAATGGTATTTATTGTTTTAAGCATTGTAAAATTATTATTGCAAATAGAAATTGTGCAAAAATGATCTTCGTTTGGTAAAAATTAATCATTTCTATTTTTTCTATGTTTAGGCCTATGGAAAAGAAAATATCAATTTATATTAATAAATATGTAATTTTCCAGTTCAGGAATTCATTTTTTATACTGTCGTGACTAAATTAAAACAAAATTTCCAAATAGCACAGTATTGTCAATAATCATAAATTATATTTTGCAACTTTACAGTTTAATTTGTGATGATAGATGAACGCAGAGTAAAATCTTCGCTATAGTAAATTATTTCAGACAAGATTTCAAATTTATCTTTCCTTTAAAATTTGTAATATATTTAAGTTTAAACATTTTACCGTAAAATTTTAAGTTTTATCATTTTTACATTTTATTTATTGCAGTTTTGTTTATCGTTTACTGCCCGATTTAGGTCCCCCCATTGAGCTGACCAATAACTATCTATTGACGATTTTCTTTTCTCATGAAATATTTCCAATTTTTAAAAATATATGTAATAAAAAATTTGTCCTTCCGCTGGGATATCTACATATTTTAGAACTGCTATAAAAAAAAAAACTTTTAAATAAGAATTTTAAGGAAAATGTACTGTTTTTTTTTTATAAAACAATTAGACCATTTTATGGGAGAATATTTATATTTATATTATTCTACTTAGGTAAGTAAACAGGGAAAACAAACAAAAAAAAATATGCCATTTTTGCTAAAACAAAAATGAGTTTTTAATGCAAAAAAACTTTTGTTGTCGTTACTTAAAATTAGTAGCAAGCAAGGACACTATCCAGTAGCCGCTTATATGTATATATATATATCAAGTTGTTATTGAACTTTTACTATTAATCATATTTTATAATGGACAGCTTAATTGAGATGGCTAGATTAGATTGTTACCAGAGTTTTTTTTTGAGATAATGTAGACTAAATGTTTTCAGTTAATATTAGTACTCTATGTAACTTTTTATAGACAATTTTTTTTACCTTAAGAAAATCGACTATTAAATTTGAAACAAAATAATATGCATTACAATGCATATTAAATAAATAGCTATGCCAATCAAAAACAACTTCTTTATATTTACTATTTATGACAATTCATATGGAAATATCAATAAATCAATGATGTACGAACAATACGCATGCACACAGAGAATCAAGTATAATAAATTGTATAAAGTTTCTATTTAACTATACAATTATATTAAAAGCTTTATCCCTTAAGAATATTAAACGGCCAAGGAAAAGAAATAAGAGCAACATATATTATATATATAATTATATTGTGGATTAGATGTGCACGCCGAAGAAACTACGCGAATTTAGTCTGAAAGTCATCAAAAGAGAATTTCTTTACATTAAATTGATTAAGAAACTTTTCGGGTGGGCGTACCAAAATATTTCTATACACACAATTTTGGCTTAGATCTGCGATTTATTTCGGTTTTTAAACATTGTTTTTAAATTGGTTTTATTAAATTTAAACGAAATTAAGCCTATACTGTTCTTATACCTCAGGTAAGTCTCATAGTTGTTCCTGTTGCAAGTTTTATCTTAGAGTAATGAAATATTACAACTGCTAATTTTTATGAATATTTTTACAATAAAAAAAATAAATTAAAACAATGTGGAAAATTATTTTCCGTTTTAAATTTGCAATCTTGTTAAATTTCGTAATAGTATACTGTATATTTTTTAAGTATTTGCATACAAAATTATAAACGCTATTATAAATGCTATACGCATTTAATCTTTTCTAATGACATTTTGTAATATTACAACATATAATTTAAATTTTATGAAGTTTACATAACCTTAAAATCATGATCTAAATAAAAAATGTGCTAACATTAAAATGCTAATTCTCTCTCTCTCTCTTTTTTACTATGTAACGCGTTTATATAAACAACTTCATAACGACGATGACAAACTGCAAATTTTTGCTTAAAACATAAGAATTAATAATTATTAAACAATATCAGAATGACTATATGCATAATAATCTGAACAAAAACATAAACAAATAGCCTCCAAAAAAATCACACGGGAGAATTACATTGCGATGATAATAATAGACTACGAGAGAGAATCATCCTTAACAAATTAACTTTCTGTTGTATTGTTTTCCGATAACAATAAAAAGGTCAGATAAGCATCCTCATGCGGATGACCTCGGCGACATTGTACTTGAGAAAATGCACTTTAATGGGTCTACGTCAACTCCGACATTTTAAGGTCAACGACTTCATAATCCTTGACAGAAAATAATGATGTGATATTTTCGCGACAGAAAACGTTTGCATGCAAAACTTGATGACGTATATATCTGTCAGAACATTGACATAATTCACGTAAAAAAAACCAACGATAACACGTCTTAGGTGACAGAGATGGAGTTACTAATAATTATAAATAGAAAGAAAATATAATTGGGCATACATTTGACTAAAAGGACGCAAGGTGTCTTTTCACTCTTTTTTTTTTAATTGGAACTTTAATCAATATTGAAAATAATTATATTTTAATATTTAAATATGTATGACGTTAAGATTGAATACCCGAACGAACAAGTCACGTCTATATACTGTTATTGTTTAGTAATTGATAACCTCGAAATGGGAAAGAAACTTTACGGAAATTTTTTTTACTTTATGAATATTCTTAACGCGTTGGGAAAGTTTAAAATAAATTACGAAAATATTTACTATTAAAAATCGTAAATATTTAATTACCAGAACTTTATCTAATCAATTAATCAAGTTTAATGATAGAAATAAAGTTCGGAAAAAGTAACGACTTATAATTAGATGCCAACGATAAAAATTCGATCACGTTCTCGTGTATATTCGCATTATTTCAAATAGAATTATGGTCACGATTATACGCATTAAATCACAAGAATGTTGAAAATGAAATTAGTAAAATTTGATTTCACGTTCTTTGAATGTTTAGGAAATTTATAAATGGCAGTTAAATAAATTAAAATTCTATTCCAAGCATGCTTTTTTTTGCATTGTAACGAATAATTTTTCTGCTTTTGATTATGAGAATAACGGAATATTTTCGAAATCAGTTGTAATAGAATTCATAAGTAAATATATCGAAATTATTCTTGCCAGTTATATAACAGAGTTAATACATAATTATCTCTTAATACATCAGAAATAATTATTGATCTTAATTTCAAATTAAGCCATGAGTAAAATAATTCATTTAAACTTATCTTTAATTTTTACTTACCATGAATAAATATAAAGAATAATTTTTAATTCAAGATTGGAAACTGACAAAATTAAATGAAAGAACATTCTGTAATTAATTAAATTGTTTCTGATAATTAAAACAATTTTTATTACTGAACTTTAAAGGTTGTTTACACTGTGTTTGTGATTCATTCCAGTATTAAGAAGGTAATTTTATAGTTTTCTGTATACAGAATACCCAAGAAATTTTTTATCTAGAGAAAATAGAATTATTGTTTTTATAAAACAGTCATACAAAAAATAATTAATTTAAGTTTAGAAAAGAATTATAGTTAAATCTGAAACATCACCCAAAACTAATCTGATTAAGTTTCTTGTGGCATGGATTAGAACAGAAGAATGCAGTTTTAAAAATTCAATTTATAAATGTATTATATAATAATTGTAAAAAGTGATTATTACTTTTTGATTTTATAAGAACAATCTTAATAATTGCTAAATCTATTGTAGCTATGAGACCTCCCGTTCCGAGTCCTCCTCGCATGTTTCCACCAGTTACTTTAGCACCAGCACCACAGCCCACTATACCTACACCATATATAGCACCCAGTAATGGTATTGTAAATTATGGTCCTCCTCCAGCTGGATATCCACAGTACACATTTCCTCAGTTTGCTACTGCACCTCCACCTCCATCTCCAGTTGTAAGTAAAAAAAATAAATGATTATTTTTTAATTAACTACTTAGCATTTTAAACTGCAATTTAATATTTTATTCAGACAACACCACCAGAAGTTTACAGAGGTGGGATAATGTATTATAGCATGCATACCCAACAGCATGCTACTCGTACACCACCTCAGAAAAGACCAACTGCAGCAATACCAATAGTTCCACCTCCAGAGAGAGAAGTAAGTACTTGTAATTTGATTTAGCTTAGTAGTATATATAGATATTAAAAAAATAACTATCAAATCTTTACAGCAAACATCATTAGAAAAAATTGAAGTTAACAGCCCTAATTCAGAAGAATTAAAAGAAATGGTTGAAAATTCTACAGAAATTGAAACACTGTCAGAAGAAACATCACAGTTATCTAAGCCCACAGTAGAGGTGGAAAGTTAAATATTCATGTGTATATGTATGTATGTATGTGTGTGTATGTGTGTATGCATATGGAACTATATCAAATTGCAAAAAGTTGATGTAGTGTAAATTTTGATTACTTCAATCTTTTCAAATAAATTATCCACTGCCTTCTGTTTTACATATTTCTTTTGTAGCAAGAAAGAAATAGTGGATTGTTCGATTTTAATATGGTAAATAATTACAAAGCAATTTAATTGAACTTATTGCATTTTGTATTCGTTTCCGAATTGCGTACAAAGCTGGAGTAAGCTGTTTCTGAATGCAGTCTTCCAGCTTATATTCAAGAATATTTTTTAATTTTTCTCTAATCTGTGAGCTATGATGACATGTAAAATAATTAAAACATGTTACTTCTGTAAAATATTCCTTAATATTAGTAAAAATGTGTGTAAGTAAACTCATGAATGAAATAATAAAAAACTATGTATTATATATATAAAAAAAAATACTNTAAAAATATTCAATAATTCATATTAAAATATGAAATAAATGTATTTTTCAGCTTTTAAATTATATGTATTACTTATTTCAAATGATAATTTTGAAAAATATATCATTATATAAGTTTTTCAGTTGTAACAAATGTTAGAATTCTATTAACATACAATCAAATGTAAATTCCAAATTATTTTCACTGGACCAGTAGAACAACTGTGCTTAACCAAGTAAATTACCACATGATTATCAAAGCATGACATTATTAACTGAGGAAAGTCAGGTTTGGTCATGGATGCACTAACAAAATAGGAGTGAAGAATGTATGTACTACTAGCCTTAAACTGTTCAGTGGCCTGAGGAAGGTCTCTGAAATTCTTTGTTTGTTACAATTGAAACAATAAATTAAAATTAAATAAGAGGACATTGAAGTAGTTAAATCTGACAGAACAAAAATAAAATTAATAAACAATAATTTTTGTAAATCATAGGAATTGTATTGAATTAATGTCAGAATACATAAAAGTAATATATTATATGATTAAGTAGATTACCAATTTAAAAAAGTTAAAATTAAATGCATTGTTTCTGGAATACCTCAGAAAAAATAGAAAATTTAATTTTTTTTAATGATTCTTTGATATTTTTTTGGATTTCTTCTCCACTAAAATCATTTTATACTCTTTGGTATATTTTTCATCTCAGATATTTAATGTGAATAATAATTTGATAAATATTTAAAATTTATGAACATCATATTACATAAATTTTTGCATTAAAATTTACTTTTATTTTTCAAGTATTTATAAAATAAAATTGCTTAAGATATATAAAACTATTATTATAACACAATGTATTAGATACTCTCAAATTTTAAACTACTGCATTTTTTCATAAATATATTTCTTCCAGAACAAATCATTAATTCAAATAGTGATTTATAAATTACAACATATAATTGCTTTATTATTAAACTAATAATGATACAAAATAAAAATTTCATTCATCCAATTCTATAATTAATAAATATTTGCATAAAAATGTGCCAAAGAATCATTTTTACATTTAGAATTTAAATTTTGATTTGTTAAAAATTTAATAGTTTGCTAGTTTTTTCCATATCTGCAATGTAACCGATTGACTTAATACATTATAATAAAGTGAGTAAAAAGTAGATTATCTTCAATCAAGTACAATAATATTTATATTAACTGGCTTCTTTAAATTTACATTTTCATATTTGAATTTCTTTTGGAATTAATTTTGACAGATTTAAAATATATACATATTTTTGTAAAATTTAGGCAGTATCTATGTGAAAGTAAATAAATATGCAAAAACAACATACCAAGTGAAGAATAAAAAGGTGATATACCTTACTTACATATTTGTAATATACTTCTCTATGATAAATTTATTAGCAATACTGAAATACTACACTATGGTAATTATAAATATGTTTATAAATTTTTAAATAATATATGCTATATATATATATATTTATGTATGTATACTACACACACACATTTACATATAAATACTTATAAATATATGATACTCTAATAATTTTGTATTTTTATTGTAAGAAATTTTAATTGATGCATAAAATTTAATGTAATACATAGGGATAAAAGTCCTATAAGAAATATATAAAAATTAAAAATGTAAAATCTTTTAATTACATTTGAAGCAATGGTTAATCTTTTGCTCATTTGCACAAAATTTGCTTATTTTTTTAATAAAGAATTAGATCTTTTCAATTTTTTTTATATTTATTTAACATATCAGATTAAATTAATAATTTCAGATTTTTAACAATTCAATTGTTTTTTCTGCAATTGTTCAATTGAAGAAAATTCAATTGTTTTTACTCTTCCTGCTTAGTTTAATTCTATTTGGCTCTCATTTTTATAGTTCTATAGATAATTATTAATTTGTATTACACATAATATTAATAATTCACACATTCAATTCTAATATACTAAATGTAATTAAATATAAATATAATTATAGTTGCATAAATAATTTTTGGGATCTACAAGCACAGTATGGTGTCTCTAATCAATCTAGCAATAAATAACTTTAATAGTTACATATGTCTATTTAAATTCTTATAGTGCTGAAAAAACTCTTAAGTACAGTAAATAGTTAAATCTTATTTTAGATTTATATGCATAACATGTATGTAAGAGTATCACACATTTGAAACTCGCTTCATTTTTTTTTTTTTTGCAGATCTTCTAAACTTATATATCAAATAAAGTATTTAATTAAACTAAATTAAATATTTAACAAATAATGTAATGATTGCTTGTAATGACAAGTTCGGGTTGTTATTACTGAATCTACTAGTTTTGTAAAATTATCATATTAAAAATAATTGTTTGAATATATTCCCACTTTCTCAGCTGTTTACTTACAAATATAATCACACACCAAACACTTGCTGAGCTTATTATTAATTTATTTTGGTTCGAAAGCTTTATATTCGATAGTAGAACAGTAATTTCTTGAGGATGGCCTATTAGAAGTAGGCTGAAAGCGTTTGAATAATAAATTAATAATAAGCTCAGCAAGTGTTTGGTGTGTGATTATATTTGTTTGAATATAATTAAATGAAACAATTATTTGTAATATGATAATTTTGCAAAACTCTCTAATTACATTTGGTTTATTTTTATCATGTCTGAATATTTACTTCAAGATTGTTGTCATTTAATAACTATTATTTTAATATATACATAATAAAATTAATATACCTGATTAATGTGTTCTAAATGAAATTCAATTTTTTGTTGTGCTTCTTTTAAAGATTCCCTGTCTTGATGATGATAAGGAGTTACTTTATATAAACGATTGAGCAATAATGGATATCTGTAATAAATTATATTTCATTTTATTTCAGTATAAGCCAATTAAAATGTAAAAATTAATATATTTATTATTATTTTTTTATTTAACTTAATATTTTGTATAATAAATTTAGAAAATCATGCAATAAAAATTAATCACAATTGATTTTTCCATGATTAAATATAAATTTAATAAAAGTTCAATCTTTAATGCAGAATTTTATTAATTAAATTTACTCATCATCAGATGAGCAATGCAGTATACATTATATTCAAAATTTTTCAACTAATTTAACATCTCATCCAATGAAAATTCACAAATAATAGTTGTTATTAATTTTTATTGAAAGCATGCTTTGAAATGTATTGATATTTACTATATAATTATCATTAAAATTCCTGATTCAAATATATGTGTTTATATTAATTGATACAATAATCATGGTTAATTTATATTATATTAAATTATTAAAAAGTTATAACAATTATTAAATATTTTTTCAAGAAGATTTTCCTTTTTTAATTTTCAAAATGTTTAATTGATATTTAAATTCTAATATAAATAATTAAATAAAATCACATATTACATATTTCCAAATAATTCATCTTTTTTTTCTTTGGGTAATAATATGTTTAATTAATTTTACATTGATTGCTTATTATTAGTTCTCAAAAAAAATTTTAGTTATGTATCTATCAAGATTTCATCTATAGTCAAACCTCTGAAATCAGCCATTAACATGGACATAAAGAATGGCCATCAGAGGTGGGCACTTTTTGGAGGTTATTTTGTGTGGATTTCAAAAATAAATGTTCCAGAAAACATGGCTGTCATTGGAAATTTGACTGCATCAGTATTTTTAACAACTTACCAAAATAAAAGTTAAAAATATTAATTTATGAATACAACTTAACATAATTTCTCTCAAGTTATAATAATATATTTGTTTCATAATGTCAAACTCATCATTTCAACTTTACATCAAAAACTATTAAAGTAAGTTTTGATGGAAAAAAAGCTATTTTGTTAATATGTTGAGTTAAATTTACTTACGGTTAGATGTTTCTAAATATTTTTATAATAAAAAAATAAATTGATGGTAATTATTAATTTTTACAAAAAACTACATATAATCAGGTAATTTTACCTGATTATACGTTTAAAGTTAAAACTATATAATGTATCATATTTTACCAAAAACTTGTTTTATTGAAAAAACAATGTACCAGGTAGAAATTGTTCAGAAACTTTTAATACCTAGATTAAACTTACTATAAAATTTAATTTTGGTTATTATTTACACATACTTTTAGCCTTTTATATACCAGTATTTGTATTTAATTAAATAATTAGATTACATTTTTATTGAACAAATGTTAACTTTTTCAATGTTAATAATTATGAATTGATTATTTTGTTCTGACTTACTTTGTGACCCTCTGTACAGGTACCATTAAAAATGCTGGCAAATTCATTCTGCGTAATAAGGTATTTTCCATCTGTGAAACTCTTAAAAATATCCGCAATAATTCTTTTTCTTTTTCTAAATTGGCTAGCAACATGGATGCAGCTCCCTAGAAATACATATCATATTATGAATATTGTGTAAATATTTTAAAATTTGAAATTATTATTTTATTAAAGAAAGCTTACCTGTCGAATACAATATGTTTCAAATGCATGTACCATTGAAGAAGATTCCAAAAACAATTTACCAATATTTACATTGGTATAATCCTAAAACAGGTAGAAATTGTGTTATATTGTAATGCTAAACTACATGCTTTCATTAGAATAATTTGAACTACTTTATAAACAAATAAATAATATACAAAAATGATACATTATGTTATATAATATGAAAAAGTTAATATAATGCTCTTTAAATAAATCATATATATTTAGAGAGCATTATAAAAGCATTTAAGCATTAAATAAATAACAGTGGCATGCAGTGACATTTGATGATAGGGAAACTGTGCCGGCCCTGGATAGAATCATTGGAAGTGTTATACGATATTTTGGTGTGTAGCATCCATCAGCTAAACTGCGTGAGGTTGGTGCTCTGTAAAGTGCATGTACAAATGCCTGTAATCTGGCTGCTTTACACAATTCAAATATTTTTGCCGTGGAAGCTGTCTCATATTTGACAATACAGCACTTCTGTTGGGAATATGCATGTATGGATTTATATTCGAATATACAATAGCAATCTTATCATTTTTTTCACATGTAGTATAGAAATTTGTAATAAGATACATAATGTGATTATAATAAAATATTAATTTTAATTAATTCAAAGTGTGTTAAAATATGAAAATAATCGCACAATATGTATTTATATTTTAGAAAATACAAAGGAAGCAGTGCTTTCACAGCTTTCATGGACGGCACACCACTGATAATTAAGCATTTAAAGCATTTAAATATATTTAGCTCATTATTAAAATAATAATTTAAATAAAACTTTTAATATGTACTGTACAACTTTGAACATGATGAACCTAAAACAGTAGACAAACAGCATATAATAGAGTTTATTAGAATAGTTTTTAAAATAAAAAATATTAAAGATCAATTTAAATGGTAATTTTTTCTAGCCAAGGCAGCCTAAAAATACGTTAATCAAGATATATTTTAAAATATGAAGAATTTTAAAATATACTTCAATTAATTGACTTTTGGGCTACTCTTTTTATTGATATATAGTTATCAACTTGTAATTTCCATCCTAACCAGAAAAATAACTTTGTTAGATTTTTTTAAAACTTCAAATTCCTAATTCAATGTTGTTTTTTATATTAGATTGGAAAATTATTAATTTTATGAAATTAAAAAGTCATTTAATCAGAAACTGTTATGTAACCATGATTAATCAATAATTGAAAATGGAAAATCCAAAATTTTTAAATATATACAAAAAATTCAAGATCTTTTGTACAAATTTAAAAATTTAGGATTTCTATATTTTCAATTATTGTTTTAACTTTTAACTTGGAAGCAAAAAAGTTATCATAATACATTAATTTCTTCTGATAATATTTTATTTAAAATGAATTATTAAACTGTTAATACTTACTTCATCACCTTGTTCAACTGCAATATCTAAAGCATCCTTTAATTTCTCAGCAAACTTCACATTTACTCTCATTAATTCCTCCAAATTAAGGAATATGCTCCGAAGTTGTACTTTTGTCAGTAACCCCGCAACTTCCATTGGACAATAAAATTCCTGTATTTAAATTAAGTAATAAATTATTTCAGATAAAAATCAAAATGTAAATACTGTACTTTTGAACATATAACCCACAATGGTGTATACCCTGCAGAAAATTGCTAGAATGAAAATTAAACCATCACATAACTTTCCCCTACTGTACACCCTATGACTATATAACAGCTGTTGTTCAATAAGTGTGAAATCATAATTGCCCTTTAAAATCATCATATAACCTGTAGGACCTGTACAGGCATTGTTACATAAAGGTATGGAGGAATGGGTCACTTTTTCAAAAGTCAAATACAATGACTTCAGTCAGAAAATATTCAAATACAGCCACAAACCAGTACAGATCAATCAGAGATGTGTTTGTATAACTTTAATTAAATATATTTATTTACAGTTTTTAAAAGTTTGAAGTCTCTTATTAATTCAAAATATATGTTAAAAGTTTAAACTCTAACTCATTAACTTATGTAGACATATGGCCATATTCTTTTTAACCCTTTGCTACTGTTATTTTAAATACAGAATAAAGTGTATGAATATTAGTTAGGAATTTTGGTTACTGAATTGACTATTTTTGTCATAAACCCCTTCAAAACTAACTACTTAGCAACACCACTGATAACCTGCACTCTGTCAAACTGCATTTTAAACACAAGTAACTCATGAGTTATACACATGAAAATACAGTAATTATTATTTAATCATGAATTATAATATAACAAAGTAAAGCTAAACTTTTACACGTCATAAATATTGTCTTTTGATCAAGTATTTCATGAAACTTTGTACCATATTTAAAAATCCAAATTATATTTTAAAATTTCAAATATAAATTATTCTAATATCAGTTGTTAATTTTATTTTCTATATTCAAGTGCCACTTGAGGAGCAATGCTAGACTAAATTAGTCCAAAAATGCTTGTTTTCCTTAGCTTAGATCACCAAAACTTTTTCACAGTGGGCCAGATAACTGAGAGAATGAAGAGTGTGGTCCGCATAACCATTTTGTTCAATACAGCACACTAAATACACAAAAAATAAAGACAACCAACAAATTTATTTACCAATACATAAACACAATCACTGCAGCAAGCTCATAATCACTTTTCTTAGAAACTTCATTGCAGATACTTAAACAAAAACCACTCTGATATCCAAAGTTGCAAAAAGTTGCCAAATTTTTTATTTTGCTGATTTTCCTAAAAATTATATTACTGTCGGATGCAAAAATCATATTGGACCACTTCTGGCATTTATACTTAGTACATTTAGCTACAATATTTCCATATAAATATAATAAATATATTTTGTGGTGGTGGGCCAGATCTGGCCTGCCAGCCGTAGTTTGGTGATCCCTGCTTAGATTATTATAATTTGTCTTTCAAAGCATGTAAATTAATCTTTGTAAGAATTCCAATAAACTTAAATAAATGTTTAAATGCCTTATGTAGCTGGAAAAGATAAAATGAAAATGTTTACAAATTTTAATTTTAAAATTTGTCTGATTTTATCATTTTAAAAGTACATGGAAAAAAGTCTTTTTATAAAGACTTATATGGAGTATCATATGTCTAAGAATATTATTTTTTTATGCTGCTCTTATTACTTATCTCCTACACTTTATACATTCATTGCCTGCTTACATACTGCACATATATTTTTTACTCTGCATCAATTTTATGCTTATGATATCTACATTATGTATTGTTCTATGCTTATCCATTTGTTATTATTTTTATATTTTAGTAGGGTCATATTTATTGTATGGTGTTAGTATTATCTTGTTTTATTGGCACTACTAATAATTGGTGTATTAAATAAAATAAAATTTAACTGACAGAATAATCGTTTTAATGGTTTAGAATATAATTCTAAAACATTGGCATTCAGGTAACAGTTACACATCAGTATTGATAGAATAATTATGCAAGACAGAATATAAATCTTATAATACATCAAATGTAGATCAAACTGGACAATGACTGTAAATTGTTTTAATTCTATTCTATATTCATTTCTGGCAAAAATTAGTACATCAATTGAATATGTGATATGCTTACATTTCTGTAATTATCAATTAATCTGTTATATATTACATATTAAAAATGTTCAATTTATTTATTTTTGGAATTAAAACTTATTACATTATAATAATAACTGAATAATTTAATTTACTCTTGTTAATAAATTTATTTGAAAATATTATTTTGAAATTAGAAAATCTACTTCTTTTATATTAAAGCTTTTAAAATATATTTTGTTATCCATTAGAGGACTTGAGATAGCCATAAGTCCTCTAATTTCCAAATAAGTAAGTTATTCATAGAAATTATGTATGTCCTCATCTATGTTTAAAGATTTTTATCTTATATTTCTTCAATTAAGATAGTTGTTTTGAAAAATAATAAAATAAAATTTCATAGGTTTGTACAGTAAAATTTATAAAAGATAAAATCAATCAATTTATTTCGTAGTTTATTTATGCTAATATATCAGGAGACATGCCATAATTTATGAATGCTCCTTGACATATTAAAACGTTTTCCCCGAAATTAAAGTTTCTTGTTGATTTCTTAATTAAATGATAACTATAATTTATAAATTTTTAAAATAACTTTTTACCTCTTTTATGACTTTTAAATCGTGACCATATTTAAATTCTGTTTCAACAATTTCTGCAATAATTTCTTTTCTTTCAGAACGTTTCTTTTCACATTTCTTACACACAAGAGGATAAAAATGCCCATTTAGTTGATTATCTGTTGATGAATCAATAGGCAGATCACAGTCAGCACAAGAAACTTCTTCAGAGCCTGGAAGTATCAATCTTCTAAGTCTTGGAGGCTTACTTGTTTCTGTACCTACACCACTATCATTTCTTTCAATATCTGCAGTAGTTAATGGTTCATTATCATCAGAAGTATCCTATAAATGAAAATAAAAAATAATTATACATAATTTTTAACTACATAACAAACAATAACAATATTAATCCAAAAATTTATAATTATTTTATTAAAATTATTAACAGAATTTTTGTTGTAATTTTTTTATTTTTTTAATCTTTCTATTAATGTTATTTTTATGAAAAAAACTATTGCAAGTTGTTTCCCAGCATTGTTAAAATACATAAAAGGGGGAATTGTTTATATTGTTTTTATTATTATGAATTGATTTGAAACTATTTACTCTTGAATGAATAGGTTAAATATGTCTTTAAAAATGTAATTTTTCTGGTCATTTCAAACTTTGAATAGATCATCATGTTAATTTTAAATGTTATCATCTTTTTAAATTTTTTTTTACACGTCTTATCTCTAATTTATTTCAATAATTAAAAATAAAATTTATACAAAACTATTCTCTTCTGAATTTTTAAAATTAAAACAAAAAATTATATCAAGATATTTGCCATAGATGATTAGTTGATATATTCAAGTAAGAATTGTTGTGTGATATAAATAGAACAGCAATAGGGAAATAAGTTGTTTCCAATTTCCAGTCTGTTCAGGTTATTTTCCAGTTGCTTGGGTCAATAAAAGGAAATGAAATATTCTCAGAAGTTGAGTTTTTTGACATTTTAAAAATACCTTATTCTAGTGTTTTTTACAATTATTTTAAAAGAATTACAGCTCCTCTTGAAATTCCTTATTACAGTATATAATAAAAAGTTTCAATTTTAAAAACTTTATTATATAAAATAAACTTTTTAAAAGATTACTAATAATGTTATTTAAATAGATGTAAAAACCTTCAATAATGATGCAACTTTTACAAATGTTCTAATATATTTAAAAACATGTAAACCATAAATTAAAATTTTTTAGACTCACTTTAGAAATGTTAATTGTACTTTGGACAACTTCTTCAATAGGAGATGCTTGTTTTGTTGTTGATAATATGGAAGATGTCTAAAAATTTTAAATAATGAAATCATAAATTAAATAAACTGTGTACAGTTAAAAAGAGAATACATTCTCTAGATTTAAATTTAACTTACATCTATATCTATTAGACTTTGAATATCTTCTTCTGTTAAATCATCAACGCCTCTAGATTTGGCATCTTCTAAATAACTTAGAATTTCTGTTTTAGAGGCTCCTTCAAAAAATGATTTGTGTTGCAAATTTTCTATGTTATATAACCCTATTTAAAATATCACATTTAATTACAAGAATGATAAATAACAAGTAAATATAATTTTTCCAGTTTTTACCTGTTGTTTTTGCTGAATTAGTATTTGCATCCTCTGGAACTTGCTCATTTTCTGGCACTACTTTCTGGGATGAATCATTTATATCATTCGGCACATTGTCTTCATGATAATTTAAATCAGGAATCTAAACCAAATCAAATCTTAGTTTAAACTATTATTTTTATTATTACTATTTAAAAATATTATCTTGAATTTTTAATTAATCTAATTTTATTTGTTATATCTAAAATTTATTTTATTATAATGTTAATGAAATACAAACTGTAAAAAATATTTGATTCATTATTGCATTTATTGTTTCTGCTCAGAAATAACTTAATTAAATAAAGAGAACAAGTGTTATTTTCATATTTCCTATGTAATTCATTTGTTTTATATCATAGCATAAAATTCACAAGATATTTAACAGTTTAATTAGATATAATATAAAATAAATTTTTCTTTGTTTATTATAACAATGATTATAATGCTAACACTGTACTTTGACTTTAAAAAATAATGAATAAAATATCATATTAACTTACTTTACTTATATTTGTGTTGGAATGAAAAGATGAACTGGAGATTGATTCTTTAAGTAAACATTGTTTACTAAGATCAGATTTCTCATCTAATTCACCTTCAGCTGTGTTTAGTACTATTTTATATTCTTCAGTATGATGATTTTTAGCCTTTTCTTCTTGAATATCCATTTGTAAACATTCTTCATTTTCTGAATTATTTGAACAAACATCTACGGTGTTATGATGTGATACATAAATTTCAGTTTTTTGTTCTGCAGATTTACTTTCCATTGAGCAATCATCATTACTCATTAAAATTTTAATATTGTTTGGATCATTCTGAATTTTTATAACATTGCTAAATTGTTCACATTGAATATTTTCTGATTCAGAAGTAGTCACCTGAACTTCACAAGGTATGATAACTACTTCATTATTTTGTATTCCATTACTTTTGTTTTCTTTTTTATCCATAGGTTGCAATTTGTTTTGTTTCTCAACAGGTTCTAGATTAACAGAAATATTCTGAGATTCATTTTTATCCTGGTTTTTTGAGAAAGTCCCCCACACATCTGTATTGACGGTGGGGGAAAAGTTTCCGTTTTTTGAATGGACCGATTCATTACCATTTTGAATACATATTACTGAAACAAAAAAATGTATTCATAAGATTGAAATTTTGATTATTAAATTTGATGATTAAATATTGCATTTAAAAATAATTTACATAAGAATAATTAAATTTTACATGATAGAAACTTGTTTGATTTCTTAATATTTTTATTATTTGTTTTTTTTTTTAATATAGAAAGCACAAAAATATTAAGAAATCTTTTACAAAAGAATAAAAATTAAATGAATAAGAAGTTTGCAAAACTAATATTAAATAAAAGAAATGAATCATATGTTATATTTATATTTCATCTTTAAAAAGGAGGAAAATTTATATATATATATATATTTCGTAAAATAGGGATAAAAGTGGGAAATATATTGGATTTAGTCAATTAAACATATGGAAATAGAAAAATTTAAAGCAATTTCATTAGCTGAAAATGACTACAAGATTATTTTCATTGATCATGCATTTCTAATTGAAATTAATAATAATGATTTCAGATAAAACTGAATCATAAAATAACAATGAAGATTCAATAAATAGAATTTAAGAGACGATTTTCGAATACAATGAAACAATGTATCAATTTTTTATTGATTGGCGATGAAGAGGTTTACTGTATATTATAATACTTATGACAGACTTTATATTTAGGTCAAGTTTTTTCAATGTGATTACATTATAGAAATTGTTCAGGATTAAAAGATATATCATTGTTAAACATATCATTAGCGTGGTATCAATATGAATTGTACTCTTCCAACTTAACAATTTAATCATACTTATCTTATAACAAAGGAATAAAGTCTAAGTAAAATGATAAGTTCAACATTTATCGATTTAGTTACAGTATTTTTCTTTTATGTAAATATGTAGTTTATTATTAATTCAGTGACATATATGAGAAATATTAGTATTAGACAATTTCAGCCAATGTTTGAACATTAGTAATAAATTACCAGTAACGTGTTGTGTTTCAAGACAAGAATAGAATGGGCCCTTTTAGTGCTTAGAGGGCCTCTTTTGCCATTTTTTGAATAAATGGCAAAAGTGGCCCTCTAAGCACTAAAAATACGTAGAATGTTTCTTCGTTAATAAAAAAGCAGTCTTAGAGATTTTATGTTTTGTTAATAAAATTAACCTTAAGTTATAGGGGTAGGAACCACTGTGGGCCGGGGAAAAAATTCCTATTTGCCTCTCTTGACGGCCCTGAATACGCCAAGTAAGCTGAGGGAGTTTAGCCCCCTTGTAAGTACTGTACGGCTCTAAGGAATGGCCAATGACAAGAAAAATTTCTCATTGTCGAGTTTTGAATTGATATAAAAAAAAATAAAGTATATTTGTTATATACAGTAGCTTACTCGTTTCTATTTATAATTTTTGTAGCATGTATTAATTTAAAAAACAAATGTTGGGAGAAAAGGACAATTTGCTGGCAGGGCCGTGCGGTAGATTTTCTAAGTATGATGCAAGTCTTCGAAATGCCGCCTCTTATGTTTTTTTGCCGCCCCCTTATATAAATTATTAGTCTTATATAGGCTATAATTGTTATTATTTGGTGTATCTTACCAGGGCCGTGCGGTAGATTTTCTAAGTATGATGCAAGTCTTTGAAATTCTACCCCTTAAATGTTTTTTATGCTGCCCCCTCACGGTGCCGCCTGATGCGGCCGCATCTCTGCATCATAGCACGGCACGGCCCTGTTTGCTGGTACAAAATCTCCTCTGCTCCTTATGGACAGACGCCTGTGATTTGCGCAAAAGTATTTTATACTTGGAGAAATAAGATAAAACCTCATACTGAATAATGACTAAGTTCAATGGAGAATATATTTTAAATTCTAAAACAAGCACATAAAGCAGGCCCATACAATCATTAAAAATGTAGCAAATGTTTATTTAAAATAGGTCTAAATCAACTTTGCATTATATAGACATATAATTTTAAAATAAACTGCATAAGATACGAGTTTTTATCATATATTCAAAACTAAAAATAAAAAATAATTACAAATTTATACAATCGGATATATTCAAATCTGATTTTAATTACAAATCTTATCATCTCCATCTGTTAAGCTACTTATTTTTTAAGAAGTTAGAAACAATTCGTTTATTAATTAATAATTTATACACAGAATATTAATTAGTCCAAGTCGTACAGTGCAGACGAAATATACGAGTGAATTTTATAAATATATGCGCTTTCATATACATATACAGTATTTATACATGAACATAGAAATATTAGCTAACCAATATACTGGTCCTAAGATACTTGCAAAACTAATATCGTTAGGCTACTTGCTAATGTCAATACTTTTCTCATAATGCAAGAAATCTAATATCGATAATACTGTACTAACAATTATCAGGTCGATATAACAAATAAAATTAATGATTATAGTATATAACAGTCAACTATATTTTTTAAAGTTTTCAATTAAAAATCGCAATATGAAAAAAATTTCTAATAATATTAAAATATTTTTATAATTGAAAATGATCAACAATTTAATATAAATTTTTCTTTTAATTAAAGTGAATTATTAAATAATCAGAAAATTATTTCTGTATAATAGGTTTTATCGGTCATAGGCATTAATAATTAGTTCAAATTAAAAAAAAATGTATTATTAATTTAAATATAATAATTTTGGAAAGATTACATATCAGATAGATTTATATATATATATAACAATTTTTTAAATATGAGATTAATGTTTGATTTTACTTCTTAAAATTCTTCGTTATAAATATTTATAAATAAATAAATATGTCTAATTTGTAAGAATATTGCTTATACATAATACTAGGAACATTTTAAAAACTGTATAACATTCATTTCCTAATAGAGGATGCAATTTGTTTCAAATGCTCTTCTACTGTTCTTAAATTTCTATGTAACTCTGTGTTATATAAACATGTCAGTAACAAGTGGCTGTGTGTATTCTGTAATTTAGAACAAAATTACAAATTGGCTTTATCTTTCTAGGACACACCTTATATATATAGTTTTTTTGGGGGGGTGTTAAATAATATATATTATTTTGTTAATATGTTAATAAATAATACATATATTTATAACGCCTTTTAAATTTATTTAGAGTGACTGTGCTCCGGTCCAATTTCAATGGATGAAAATAAATTAATATCTATTTAGAAAAAATTACATTTGAGTTTTAAAAAGTTAGGGGAAGATGAAAAATTAACAGAGCAGAGAAGAAACCAGAATCTCTTCAAGTGCAAAACTTGTTTTAATCAACTAAAACAAAAAGGTAATTTTTTAGTTTTGTATTGTATTGTTTTATAATTTTTTTTAAACATATTCACAGACTGAGCAATAATAACTTTATAAAATAGCTTAAATAGTTCTCAGCACTTTTATACCCTCATTACCTATACATAAAAATTCTAATGAAGTAACAAGAAAGATGAATCTCTAAATTATAACTAGTTTTTATGATTAAAAAAAATCAAGGTCAAAATCTAAGACTGCATTTAAAACTGAACACAAAACTGCATGGAAACGCTGCAGACAAACAGGTTAAAAAATACACGGTACGGTGGGGAAGTCCCTTTTATTGGGACGCTCTTAGCCCGAAGGCGATTTCTTACAAGTGGCACGCAAAACTGTGATTTTTTTTTAAATTTAACGACCCAAAGAAGGCGGACCGATCGATCAAATCGAGTAATTACTGTTGAAGAAAATAAAAGACGAGAAGACGACTTATCAGTAAACTCAGTTTCATCTCCGCGCAACTCGTTTCGGATTGATCAGTATCATCAAACACAGAATGATATTTAGGTACTAAACGAATGCACACTTGTCACAATACTCGACGTAATATTATCTTACTAGGTTACTAGGGTGACAAAACAACTCGGTTATCGCCCTTTTATCCCCAAAGGGTCTTTGTTTCATATTCCTCCAGTTAAAATATTCACCATTCCCACGTTCTGTGAAAACAAAAAAATGAATAAAATTTTTAGAAATATCACCGTGCGTCTAAACATAAATACGTTTTCGAAAGAGAAAGTTAAAAGCGAAAATTATTGCTTCGAGCTAATTATCTATTGTTTCAAAATGAATAACCTATAATGTATTATTAGAGGAATGACCTTATTGAGTTCCTCTAGTAACGAGAAAATATGGGGGGAAATGTATAGGCTACAGAATATAGATAAATAAACCTCGACACTATTCCATTTTAGGAAACTTTATATAAAAAACATTTGAAAAAAATCACCTCATGAAATTTTTTTCTGTCGTTTTTCAGTAATGTTGCACAAAATTTAATTAAAAATTTAATTTCATATTAACTTTACGAAAACTTATTAAAACAGGGATCCTAGGATCCTATTTTAGAACTGAAATCCTGAAATATATTTCTTGAATTAATCAAATCTTCTGCCAAATAATAATTTTTTTTTTTTCGAGAATTTCATTTATATATCTTCCCCCTTCTTAAGTCATTTTACTAGTAATTAATTTTAATTTATATGAATCATGAACAAAACTACCCAAATTCTTTAAATCTTTCTTTTTTCGATTTTAATTATAAGTATCCTTCCAGTTTCAACATCCCAAATACTCTGTAGTTACCTTGTTAATATATTTAAAGCAGTCATGGGCAACCCGCGAGGTCCTAATATGCGTACCCCAGGGCTTTGGTAATGTAATTTTATTTTCCTGTTTTCTGCTTCGTGCCATTATATAACCCTAATTCGCGATGAACATTCAGACTAAACTTGACCAGTGAAAAGATGTGACCAATAAACTATATGTTACTAGTCTGCATATCATTAGCATATATTATTTTAGTATCCAGAATACAGTGGTACCTCAGGATACGAAATTAATTCGTTCCGAAACTGACATCGTATCATGAAAATATCGTAAGGTGGATCATCTTTTCCCATACGATTACATGTAAAACCAAATAATTCGTTCCAACGCGAAAAACATACTCAAATTAAAGCCAAGTAATACATTTAAAAAAATAACTGTAGTAAGAAAAACAAATGAAAAATGCGAACTAATGTAACGTCGTATGGTGAGTTTTTGTTCGTATCGTAGAGCAAAAATATGTTCGAATTTCATGTCGTATCCTGAAAATTTCGTATGCTGGGGCGTTCGTAACCTGAGGTACCACTGTACCGAAAATTATGGAGTATGTTGATACTGGGCGAGTTTAAAGCCTGCAACTCCGTATAAAAAACAAAAAAATATATGCGGCCCGCATCCAGAAAAAGTTGCTCATCACGAAGTGTAGCTTTACAACACAAAAAGTATCGGTCAAAATTCAAAATGTGAACAATTGGAAGAGTGAACACTTTCCTTTAAAATAAAAATAAATTTTTCCTAATATTATGACTAACTCATAGCTGGTAAATTATACCTATAATACAATAGGAACAACTTATAATAGCTTTCCAAAAATCAACTGACAGCATAAAGACTTTGAACTCCTTATTTGATCTTCTGCATTATTGATTATTGACAGACTTTTTCCTATAAAATGAAAATGTGTCATCACGTAATTCAGAAAATGGATATGCAATATATTGAACTAATATTTGTATAAGTTATATTCTTTGTTTTCAAAGATGCTTATTTAATCAATAAAACAGAATATATAACAATTCATTTCGTGCTAACTAGATACCGCAAATATAGATCACGATTTTATAATTACGTAAACGAATTAAAATTAGTTCTATTCGAAGGATAACACGTGATCAAATTATGTCTAGTTTATCTTTTATATTGCAAGTATTTGTATACAGCATAATATTTTTTGCGAAATCGTATTTATATAAACGAAATGGATCAACGAATAAGAAATGATATGAAACAGGATATGCTTTGCATAAATTAATTCAAATTTGTAAACGACATTAACTATGTCAGTATTATTTTATCAAGCAGTGTCTGAAACTTTTATGAACAATACAACTTTAGTACATAACATATAAACCGTAATTTATCACATATGTTTAATTTAAAAATAATCCATCTCTATCAACATCTCATTTTCATAAATTAACATGATTCTGACAAAATTACCTAGAGAAATAAAGTTTTTTTAACCATATCTGATAAACTATTTTCAATGTAAAAACTCATTTGATTATAACTCCACTAGTAGCCCGGGACGCCCCCTAGTGGGCGTTCTTTACAAATTTCCATGAGGCACGGTTCCTTTGACTTTTTTGTTCCTATCAATATGCTGTACAGCTCTGTTAAAGTCCCAATGGTAAGATTTACCCTCCGAATGAAGAAGTGGCGACCCCCCCCAAACTGTAGCCCCTGTGCGAACAATAAAGTCAAAGGAACCATACCCCTACTCGCGATCCTTCGCGAGATATAAGCCCCTGAAATAATAAATTCCTATTACAAATATACTGAATTATTTATATTGTTATATTGACCAAATAATAATTTATGGGCCAAATGAATAATAATAATTCATATTGTTAATTTAAATAAGAATTAAAATTGTTAATTTGAATGTTTGAAATATGACACACGATAGGGGCGCCTCTAGTGTCCGTTATCAAACGGTTACGGGACAGACGGACACTTTGAATGGGTTATATATATAGAAGATATTTGGAAAAATAATTTCCGTATACATTAAATAGGTTTATGCAAAATGTTCATAAGAGGATTACATTTATTTCATCAGGTTAATGTTAGCCATAACAAACAATATTTTTAAAAAATCCATGAAAAATGAATTATGTTTTGGATCAGAAATCGAATCTTGATATCTCATAACAACAGAAGAATTTCTTGTCGTGCAATTCAGCTGTGGCAACATATACTTTTAAAACGACTGTAAATCGTACTATACAAGTTCGCGGACAACTCAAGGCCAGCGAACTTGTGTAGTCCGGCCCACAGTTACCTTAAAAATATATGCAATAAATGGAATTTCTATTTGGTTTCTCTTATAAATAAAATCAATTATATGTACAGTACTTGTATATAGAATATATTTATTATAATAAATAACATAAAATAGTGTTTAATATAAAAATTTTTTTATCATATTAAACACTATTTTAATAATTTTAAAAACAATCCTGTAGACCGTGGTAAGCAAAAAATATTTGGCTCGCATGTACAGTACCTTATGCAAGTATCTTTATTTGGCCAGCAATTTTAAAAAGTTGCCCACCCCTAGTGTAACTGATAGTTGGAAAGTATAACGCTCTTATTTTCATATAACGCGGAGGCCAGACATTGAACTCAGCTTATGTTGACCCAAGCTTAAATGAAAATAGGTAGGATAACCTGCTATAAAATTCCCGCCAAAATAAAGAACCAAAACATGTTAAGATTTATTTCATAGAGGAAGCATTGCATCACTCGATTGCTATAGAAAACGAGCAAAGGTCTTTGACTTCATGTTGATAGGTGTAGCTAAAGAAGTTAGAATAAAAGAAACGTACTTCGGTCATGTGACATCTGGATAGTTACCTAATAAAATTGTCGCATAGTGAACATATTAGTTTAGCATCTATACGGAAGAGAATGAATATAATTTGTTTATAGATACTAATTTATAATATAATATTGTTTATAGAATCCTCTTCGGAAGAGAGAATAATTGAATGCAGCTTTCTATGGAAACTTACAGCAGAAAAAACATTCGAAATTACAAAGAACTGAAATAAGAGACTTATATATTTAGTTATACTTGACTAGAGTTTAACAACTCTACTATTTTTTCACAAATTAAAGACAAAGTCGCTCTAAAAATATATATTTCAGACGATTACCATTTTTACATAGTTTTCTAGAAAAAAAACCAGCTTCACTGAGCAAAAAATTATCAAGAGAAATATTAAAAAATCAAATAATAGTAATACAGGAAATGAAATATAAAATATTATAATGAATTATAAGAGAAAATTAAGTAAAAAAATAGAAGAGAACATCTGTAAACTAATAAGATAAAAATACGGATCAGTAAAGACTGCCGTAACTAGCCATTCCTGTGCAAGAATTTGCATTTAGGCCCCTTAATTAATTAGGTTTAGGAAAATAATAAAACAAATACATGCATATTGGGCCTCCTTCCAAGTAGGCCCTGTGCGAATGCACCTGTTGCACCTGCCTAGTTATGTCACTGAGTAAAGAAATACTTTGTTAAATTATATAAAGGATTCAAGGATGAGAGAATTAACTTACTTTCAGTAACCATTACAGGAAACAGATTAGTAAACTGAACCAAGTGTTGATTTAATCGACAAGATTTCTACATTACATTACATGTCAAGAAAGCTTTTATAGTAATGAAATGAAATATTGTATTGAACCATATTGAACTATTTGAATATATGAATACGAAGAAAATAATGTAGTTAGCACAATTACGCTAACTTTTAATGAAGTGAAACAGCACAATAAACGGATAAGAAAGAATCAGAAATCTTAGGCCTATATGCCAGATAAATTAATTACACTACCCAACATTATTTTCACCTCCGAGAAAATAAAGGTGGTTTCTTATCAACTCCGATGCCTATATTTCAAAAAAGTAGAAAGAAAATGATACATTACGTTATAGTTTTCAGATATTGAAGCCTGTATGTACATCAGGAATCTTCGCATTTACCAATGTAAAATAGGTGATGAAACACCACCAATATTAGGAAAAAATATCGTAGAAAGCACTTTCAGTAAAACAACTAAAACATAAAACTGATACTCGTGTTCCTAAACTGAACGTATTGTTTAAAACGTTTTAAACCAGAACTGAGCTTTACTGCCAGGTTTTGAACAGTTTGTTGCGATTCCTCCAACAGATGTTATTCGAATAAAATAAATCTTCATTTGCATTCAATAAATTAACTTAATCTCCAGAATTTAATAAGAATCTATAGAAATTGTAATCAGACAGACTACAGTAATTTTTGCTATGTGGAACGTAGGTATAAATTACTCGGCCAAAGTAGGAATCCTCTTTCACTGATTTGTTAATGGTCGAAAAGATAAATGTCGCATTTTTAAATTTATTATCTTACTTTATTCTATTTTCATTTTTATAAAACTCAGATAGAAATAAAAATTAATATGAGTAAAAGCTATGTTCAGTTTGTAGAACAGCCGGTTCTGGTGCAGCTTTTGATACCCTGAGGGATAGAAACGTGGTTTGGATTTCACGTAAAAATATAGATTCTCATCCTGATAGATCCACCAAAACGGTGCAAACAAAGAAATCAAACCACATTAGAATGATTTTCACAAGTGCATATGCTACTCTATGTATATCATTATACAAAGATCTATCTATATTTCTTTTGATACTTACCTGATAGAAAAATCTAAAAGTGATTTTTGAAATCAGGAGGATTTTTATACGACAATTGTCTATTTTAATGTCAGAGGTATAAAAAAGAACTTTATGTTGGGTAGTATAGCCTAATAGAAGCAATTTCTATATTGCGGCAATTAAAGGGAGCCTGTACGATATATGAGGAAATCTGACGAGCATTGAAAACGAATTATTTCTAATTAAGACATTAGAATTTTCCAAACATACGAGAATATGCCGAGTCCAGGATAAATATAAGAAACTACTATGGAAAAACATAAATACATCAAAGATCAGTTTAAAGTGTAAAAAACGAAGTTTACACTTAAGCCGCTTGTTTATAGGCTAAACTAAAACGTTTATTTGGTCAAACAACAGTTGAAAATATTTCTCTATTTACCAAAAGTAAGACAAAAAAAAGTTAATCTGCTTAAAAAGTAGTAAGCCGTATTTTCTGTAATTAGCTTATTCTGACTTCTGATTTTGCATATTTATGCTACTAGTGTGTGCTTACACGCTATTTGATTGTATAGGCTATATCATACGCAAATGATATGTTATTGATTTATTGACAGGAAATAAAAAAAATTGAACGATAAAAATGAGCTTTGGTATCAATAGAAATAAAATAAAATGTATAGAATATAATTTTAGTAAATGTCGATTTTTAAGTCAATTGGTATTAATGTACAATAAATTTCACTGTATGAAAGGAATTACACAATATAATGTAAAAATTGCATGATACAGACTTGAAACAAAATGGATAAAATGAAGGTAGACAAGAAATATATTACGCAACAAACGAGTATCAATTAAAAAGATTTTTCAAATCATTGATGAAACAAAAAATGCTAGGCTATTTAATATACTATTTTTGGAATAAAACAAAAAATAAATATAGTAGAAATGTTATTATTATTAATAGACTATGTGTTTGAAAATGACCACCCCATTGACTAAAAATAAAGTGCAGAAAGTGATATTTTACATGAGTTGGACATAAAACTATAAGACAGACAGCCAGTGATGAAGCTAAAATAGTCGAGTTATAGGCCCAAAATGGAGAAAAACAAGATGACAATACAAATAATCGAAAAAAAGGGTGTAAATGTGGAGAGGATTCGAAAATCTGGCCCCAAATAAACGGGTGATGACGACGGCAACACGACGATAGACGCTAGAACGTATTTGTTTCCGGTTTATTTATTTATTTATTTAATTTTTAGAAAAACTAGTTATTCATCTCGACCTAAAAATCAGGGACATGTATACAGTATATGCATTGTTTCTGATAGCAACCTAGATTATTGTAATATTAAATTGCCGAGATCATAAAATAGATCTTACTACTTACGAATTGTTATTTTAAGTAAATTTAACAGTTTAACTGATTTTATTACTATGATTAGCTCATTATTACTACTTTGAACTTTAATTCTGTTCTTATCATAACTATAAAATTTTCGTTGTTTATGGTTGCTTTCTTTAGCACGCAAAAGGAAATTCGAAAGAAATCCTTTAATTTTGAAGGTACCACATGAGAAATTTGTGAAGATTTTTAAAAATATTCTGTGTAGAAAATAGTTTTATTTGAAAAAGAAATCCTAACGTAAATCAGTAATAATTAATCGACTTTAATTTTTAAAATTAAATTTAAAAAGTTTAATTTCAATTATTTTAAACTAATTTTGATATATTTATACTTTTTATAATCACTTCATCTATTATCTAGTTATTAATTTATCTCATTTTGTGGTGAAATTAATACATTTTTTTCCTGTTTTTCTAACTTCCATCGAACCATTAGATAGATCAAATGAATATATTACAGAAATTAATGATGACAATAAAATTTTATCATGATTAAAATAATCAAATTCACTTAATACAATTCTAACTTATCTAATAATCCAACTTTTAAATTGATTTTTTACTCACCATTCGCTTGTTGATTGGGCTTGGAATTTAAGTTACTTTGAGTATTATTATTATTGATACGGATTTCATTAGACACGTGATAATCACCGACTACCAATTCACTAGTTTTTTCTTTGGCGTTTCTTAGAAACTCCGTGTCGTTGATGCACTGTACAGTCAAATGATTTTTAGGTGCCGGCGTGATAGTCCTGAAACCGTTAAGTTCACTAAAATCACTGCGTTTGTTCGTCTGTAAATAGTCTTCTACAGTTTGAAAGCCATTGTTATCGTGATGCTGACTATTACTCTTTTCGTTTTTAATTTCTGTTACGGTTACATTATCCGTATCTTCGTTATAATTGAGACTTTCTCTGGACGAAGATTTGAAGTGGACGTGTTTCTTTTTCCTGCATTCTTTATCGGAAACGATAGGAAACTGTAATCTATTGACGTAAATTTCGGAAACGTTATCAGTTTTCTTAAGGATGGATTTCACTTCCGATAGAGATTTAGGGGAATTTCGAATCCTGACGGCAACAGTAGGCGTGGATTTTTCGTTTTCTATCTTATTGGAAACGGGTTGAACCGTGATTTTAGCCGTCGATTTAGTTTCTTCGACTTCTGCTCTCATTGTCGGTTGATGTAATTTTTCCGATAACCGCTTTCGAACGAGAAGTGGAGAACTTGTAATTTTTAAATCTTTAAATCTAGGAATGTCTTCGTCGCTATCGTCGTAGTCGGGTTCCGGCAACGAATAAATACCGTCGTCGGAGGCTATGCTGCACTGAGTAGACGACGTGCTGTCCGAACTCGTTCCTATTCTTACACCATACCCAGCTAAACGAATATGCGAATATATACCACTTTCGGATTCGGAAATTGTAGAACCCGGAGGTGAAGTAACAGTATTTTCTCCACTCTCTTCTACGGCATTATCACTTAAGTTATCGTCGAGATCGCTGTCTAAAGGACCTTTCGATTTGAGGTAATTTGTCACTAAGTCATAAGCAGTCACATCACATTCTAAGATAGATTTTCTAGAAGCTATAGAACTAAATGGATCGCGCGTTTCTAAAGCCCTAATAAACTTTTTGTTTGTTCTTCTATCACTAATGTTTTCGTTTTTCTTCTTTTTCTTTGGTCCATATAATTCGGCATAAATAGGGCTTTCGCACGTACAACTATCGTTACCAGAAACCATCATCACGTCTTCATAAATAGGTTCTTGCACGTCAACGTAAGTATCCCAGGGATACTGTCTGGATGATACCGATCCATATAAATAAGATGGAGAACGATAAGAATATATACTGCTAACGGATCCATACTTGTCCATCGGTTGTCTGTGCTGTTTTCGCTTCGTTTTCTTCCAACCAAAAACTCTCCTACTGTTAGTGGATCCCCCATAAGCTTCCATTTTTTTAGTCTAGAAAAATTAAAAAGTTATTTTAAGTTTCATATTTGAAATTAAACTATGTTAAAGTTTATTTTTAAAAGTAAAATTAACTTCTATTAATTTACGAACGATATGGTTATTTTAACTAAATAAACAACGCAGACTTAATTTATAAAAATTGAATCATTTAAAGTTTTATTGTTCAGCTGTACACATTTAAAAAAAGATTTGTAAGAAAATTCACTCAAGACCTTACGCGAGATGATTAAAAGGTTCCTGCTACCGTAATGTAAGCATAAACTATAGCTTCATGCAAATGTATGCATGTATCAAGTTGTAAATGTAAGCCTAAATATTTATATTGGTGTAAATGAAAACTAAAAATAAATACTGTACATATATTTTGATTGGACAAAGGCAAGCTTTTCATTTTAAATATCGCAAGAAAACACAAAATGGAATTACAAGCAACCAGAAATTTAATTAATATAGGCCTACTGTTTGTAAATTTCTGGTTTCTTACAAAAATGTTTATGTTAAGGAACATTAAATGCAGAAACATTTTCATTCAATATCTAATTTATAGTTATAAGTTACTATTCTATAAATATTTAACATAAATACTAAAAGAAATACTATTTTCTTGGATTTTATTTTAAATAATCAGGAATATTATTAAGAATCTAATATTTACTTAATCCGAAAATTGACAAAAAGAAAATATTTGCTGAAAAATATATCTATTGAATAACGAAATCGCAAACTTGACTTATAATTTTACGATCTATATAAGGCCTATATATTTATTTATTGTGATATTTTACATTGCAATGATAAAATCAAAGAAGGAATACTTTAAGAAGCATGTAAAATACAGAGTCCGCTTATTCAATCCTATTACATTTATAAGTTAGATGTAACTCGGGCTACTCGATCTAGCCTACGTATATAAATATTTGCACATATATAGACAAAATATATCGGTGTGCACTATGTAGTTTAACTACCTAGCTGGCGGCACGGACGTCAATGGACTTCTACTAGTAGGAACAGGATACTTGCCCAAATTGAACTCCTCCCTTTCCTCTTCAGAAACAGATTATCTTTTAGTTAGAGGAAAATCGAATTAAATAAATAAATAAATAAAACAATAATCCTTTTATCCAATAAACCTTTGTCTTTTATCTTTTCCACTTAGAAAATATTAAGAACCTGTTTGAAAAAAACCGTACCCAGTGTGAATTAACTCCGATATCTTGATGAAAATACGTCATAAATCCTTACAATATATATAATATATATATATTAAAAGTTTAACATATAAGAATCATTGCTTATAACAGACTGAATCACAAGGTGCTCTTTGTATGGATATCCTACTATACAAAGTGACCACACGTGTGAATATAATTAACAGAACAGATAATGTGAATAAATAAAACAGATAATTAACAGAAAATATAATTTCACACGTAAGGACCAAAGTCCTTACGTGTGAAATTATATTTTCTGTTAATTATCTGTTTTATTTATTTACATATTTTTGGTAAGGTTTCGGTATGACGGATACCAGTGGGTAAGTGTGATGTGGCCTCCTCCTCGAAGTCCAGACTTGACAACACGTGATAATTCGCCTTGGGGCATTGTGAAAGAGAAAATTTCTCGACTCCACCTTACAGCAGTTGAAGACTTTAAAAACAGTTATCAGGGATTACATTAATGACTTTCAACCGTCAACACGGAAAACGATGTCCAGAAAAACATGGGAAAAAATTGAAATTTGTCTGGAGAATGTAAGGGATAACAAAATAACTTCTAATTAGTGCGCGTAAGGTCTTAGTGGCCATTCGATACACGGATACAAATGCTTACGTAGAGTTTCCATAGAGGCTTTTGTTATTTATTCAGGTTATATTTATGCAAATACATTTCGAGTTAAACAAAAATTGCTATATAGATGACGAAAAAATATACAAAACTTACTTTTAACAACCTACGAATTTGGGGATGAAATAAACTTTAATATTTAACTATAGAAGACTAAATTACTTAAAACTTAATATTCCATTACAGCCTAATTTTAATATTGAATTTAACATTAAAAAAAAGCATTGGTAATACAGTATATCATTGCTGCAGGATGTGGGATGATAAACATCTGTTCATTATTATTAATAATTAATAAATAGTAGCATCCAAATCCACTCTATTTTTAAGCTAGAAATCCAAAGTTACTTCCAATAATGTTTTTAATATTTCATAAATATTACCTTAATATGAAATTATTACATTAATCATTATCATCATTTTTCATTTACTTTTTAATCGAAGACTTAATCAATTAATTAATGAAATTAATGAAAAATTTACTAATAAAATAGTGAAAATTTATTAATTTAGTAAATTTTACGAAAGAATAATAATAGTAAATTGCAAAATTAATCTTTGCGACATAATTATCGCTGTATTGTAAAAAACAAAAAAACATGTTTACACGCGAATCTTCACGAAAAAAATACCGAAATGACTAAAATACACCAGGCTTACTTCATGTAGATTACCCGCTGGTGCCCAGTTTTTCATCCCTTCTGTAACCTATAAAAATTAGTTGTACCTACAGAATTAAGTTGGTTATTTTCGTAAGTTTTGAGCTTTTAATTAAACATGTTTTTTAAATTAAAAATTAGTTTAATTTGTTTTTGTTAAAATGGACTTAATTATTTCTCTTAGCTGCAGGTTAATCCGAAAATAAGTTACATATTATTACTAAAAAAGCAAAGAAGTGAAAGAACTGTGGACTAAAATATAGGGAACGAAACTAGTTAGAAACATAAACACTCATTTAAATTTATATAACAACGACAATTATATATATATATAATCTCATTATATTGCAATTCGATGTTATTTACGTTAAAACTGGATTTGCCATTCGTTAAATGATTGAAAAAAAAACGAAAAAATAGCTTATAGCAATAATTAAATAGCAATAAAAAAACGAACGCAAACACAAATTTAGGAATTTTTAATAACACTGAAAATGAATCCTGGTAAACTGTTGTTAAGCAAAATGAAATGGTTCAGTTATTTGGTAAAGTACTTAAAAATTGCAACTATGATGGCCAGTGGCGCGTTATGTCCTCATGGGAACCCAGGCAGATTTGAATTAGGGAGCTTTATGTACAGTGTTGACTTCAGATATTTTTCTTCGGAGTTTTTTTGAGGAAAATATTTTCTTATAAAAGATTGGTTTGGGGGCCCCAGGCAATTATCATTTATGCCTTTAGGATAACGCCACTAATGATGGCTTAAAAGTCATTTATCCATTATAAAGATTAAGTTCTTGCTATATTTAAATATTTAGCCATATATTTTTAAAAGTGTTTCCGCCAACTTTGTAAAAGAAAATTGGGTTCTAAAGCGAGTTTATATTTTATAATCGTATTAATTCACAAGTGTACGTAGAACAAAAAACACGCTTAACCCGCTTTTGGTCCAGTATATATATAATTGTTGTAACTGTTAATTTTCCTTCTTCAAAAACATTCATTAAAGTCATCCATTCTTTAACGAATAGACAGTTTAAATATCCGAAATGACATCGCGTATCAACTTTAAATCTTGTAAAAATTAATAATCTAATCTACGTTCAATATATTGATATTATTGAACTATGTTTTAATTCTTAATATAGTGCATGCCAATTAAATTATATACTCTATTCCAACGTTTCTCAACCTTTTGAGAATGACAGAGCACATTTTGTTTCCTCAGTTATGCGGATCATCAATATACAGTAGCTTATATATGTAGATGTGTATAAATATAAACACACACATACGTTTGCACGTATGTATGTCTATATTAGCGAAAACATACATTAAGAAAACAAATTTTAGAATGACTTATTGAACGAATGGGTCGCCTCGAATCTTTGTGGAGCACCAGTTAAGAACACTGCTGTACTCAACGCATTGTTAATAATTGCACTGCTTCGATATTGAGATTATTAATAACGGCACATATTCTGTTTCGTTATTGTATTATTGAAGAGAATTTCATGAATTTTTATATATGATAACGAAGAGAGATATTGGCAGCGTAGCTTTAAACTGTAGGAGACGTATATAAAAGTGTATATAATATAAAGTCCATGATACGATACATGATACTACACGTTTCTACAGTCGCAGTTAATATCGAAACAAAAATATCGACAAGCATATATTTGTGCGTGTCCGAGAGATTTAAAACATATGACCTTTGACAAAAGCTTAGATTGCCTGTACATAAAATAATAATTAGATATTGGAACAAGTGAGTGAGGTCTTTTTAAAAAAAGCCTCACAATTTATAACAAGGAATAATAATGATAACGTAATGACTGTTGATGGAAATGATCTTTGCTAGACTGTGACCAAAATGAATAAAAACGCATATGTAAATTTAATAAAATTTGCATTACCCTTTAATGATGCATAATATAACATCCGTGATATTTCCTATTTTTCTTATGATTATAAATGTTTCATTACAATACAATACGTAATATAAGATTTTCTAACTCTACACGAAGTGTAACTTATAAAACATAATGTTACAAAATAAAACAGAAGCGAGATATTCGGAAAATATGAGAATAATATATTCCATATTGTCCAAATCGATCAATTGCTTTAGTGAATAATTTAATCTATATTGTATTTTCAATAGAATGCTTTTCAATTTTTTATACGAAATATTTTTATTTAGTATAATAAAAATTAAGTTGTAGTAAGAATTTTTAAATTCAAAAATAATTTAATTGAAAAACTAATTTTATGCAGATTTTTTTCGTGAAAAAATAATTTATTCGACTGAAAAACAACGCTGCATCAATATAACCAAATTTAATAAATAGATTTTTTTTAATGTTAGGTTTAACAATAATTTTAAATCTCCAAATTACTGTACAGGATTCTTTGGTGCATTTGTCACCAATCATTTAATCCAACTTTTGGCTACAAGAATTTGCACTAGATAGATATTTT